AGTCCTTGCTGGTGTGGTGGTTGGAGAATTGGGGAGGGAAGATGGACTCTGATGTTTTGATTAAGACTTGGTTTCAGGTAGGCACCGAGAACAGGAGTCTTGGTGGTGTAGCCTCCTCCAGAAGCAATGTTAGGTAGCACATGTTCCTGTGCCTTCCCCAGGGGTAGAGCTGTTTGTTTTCTCTTCACCAGGTACAGTGGGTCTCCCCTAGGGACGTCAGGATGCATTTTGGTTGTCCTTCCTCCTGGAGATTAAGGCTTTTGTTTCTTAGGAATGAGAGGGAGAGGGGTCTGAGATTCAGTTTCAGAGGTGGGTGCCATTCCCCTGCCCCACCAGGGGATCCACCAGAAGGGCTGCAGTTTTGTGCCCTTCTTCCCACAGATGAAGGTTTCCAAGCAGTCGGAGAGATAGAGGAGTTGGGTGTATATGGCCTTGGCTGGTGTCCCATATGAACCAATGCTCAGGTCCCATTTCTTCCTGAAGGTGCCTGGCTCTCATCACATTTCAGGTTGTTTGCCCTATGATGTCAGTTCTTTCATGGGTTAAATAGTTTCTCTAGCTTTTTTCTTGTTTTGAGTGAAGCAGTGCTTCCTCCAGCTCTCTATCTTCTTTCTGTAGCTCTGAGCTGAACATTACTGCTATTCATAGCACTTTACCATGTTGTGTGCAATCCTTAATCTTCTTTGAGCTACACAACCAACCTGGGTCAAGCACATGTTACTGCTGCCACAGGCAGACAAGACAATCGGCTAGAAAACTTACTATTTACTATGCTGAATATGGATGGCCAGTTCTTCATCATCAAGTACTGATAGGTATCATTATAAACTCCTACTTCACTCAAGAGTAGATTCTTATCAGAGGTAATACTAAGTTTATAATTTTAGATGCTTCTGAGTTCCCATGAAGCCATGAATTTTCTATATGTAAAATTCTAGCTCTTATTCATTTCTGGACCCTAGAAATTCTCTGGCTTTCTTAATAGTAAGAACTCAAGGCACTGAATACAATTTAACAAGTAATATGTCCCATACTTGAAAGTATGTAAGATGCCTTTAAATATTGAATAAGTCCATTTTTTCATGAAGTTAGATTTTCAATAAACCATTCAAAAGCATTTATTGAGATGATTGCTGGGTGCTACGAAATCAAACGGAAATGTAGGCAATCTCATTCTAATTGAAATTAAGTCTGTACATCACTGAAAAATATTGAAAAGAAATAATCCTTCATACATGGTATAAAAATGCCAACCCACTTTCCTTCTCATGTCTTCTTTTAAGGGTCTATATAAAAGCCGAGGATTTTCTGAACCCACCCCTTTGAAGACTTCCACTATTTTAATTCATTGTCCTTTCAAGTCCAAGTAGATTTCTGAGTTTTACATTGCTCTCCTTAGTTGTGTAAGTATATGTGGAAAGGATTGATATTTAAATAGGAGGGTTCTGTGTCATTTGCCAGCTATTCCAAGCAATGTACCAAGTGTATTTCAGTGTGAAAATACTGCTACAAGTTAGAAGTTATGCATGATTTTTAATCCTTTGTGAGCTCTCAAAAGGAATCTTCAGGAACATAGTAGACTAGAACACATATTATAAACATTACTTTACCTGGGTAATCTGATTTATAATGAGGCATACTTAGTAAAACCATATATGTGTAATAGCAACTTATAGGCACAAGTTGACATAGTTTTATAATCAACCAAAAAGGCAAAGAAATTTAAATAAGCACTTGAACCGTGCTTAACGAGACAAAAAGCTACCAACCACCTATCAAACTAGTGTTCCACCAGGGGGCGCAGTCTGCATTTATTCCCTTTGCAGCCACTTTACTTAGTATATGCACCTGAACGGTTGTATAAAAAACTCTATTTCTGTAAAGTGATTTATAATGTCCCACTGGCTTTTGACTTTATTCCAAGCTTTACTGTTTGTCAATCAAATTCAGTGATTTCCAACACTTTTGTTTTCCTATAAATGCTGAGTTTTAAAGAAACTGTAAACAGACTTTAGGGGAGTCTGCTGCTAATCCTAGGTCCATCTTTTCCTATAGCCAGGAATCCTTTAGAAAGCAATTGTTTCTTAGCAGTAAAGATAATTGCACAAGTATTCTACAGCTAGATACTCTAGATGGAAATTTCTTTAAGTAAACCTCGTCTCTAATGAATTTGAAAATACTCGATTATCCTAACAACAAGGAAACCAGCAGCTAACAGTCATCAGTTCCAAAATAAAATGTTTATTTCAATCACAGATTTACAAAATTGGTTTACCTCCAGAATTGCATTTGATGAACGAAAATATTTTGTTAGACGCTGACTCACTAAGATGTGTGTATTCACAAATTTACCCAGCAAGAGATGTTACAACCATATCAAATAGTGAGTGAGAACAATAGCTTTTTTTTTTTTCCTGGGCAAAATGTACACTGTCTTGAAACCTACATTAGTGCAGTGTTACCCGGCCATTTGGTGGCAGAGCTGTTGTTGAACGCAGGAGTATCTGATGCAAAAGCTCAAGCTCCAGGACAACTCACACCCGGGCTTCTGTCCCTTGGAGCTCTTGGTATCTCTGGACTCCACATCTTTACCCACCCCTCTCCTGGGGGAGGAGGACAGCACTGAGTGTTGCTTGCTCTTACGAGGGGTAAGATGGCAGAAGGTGTCAGTAACGTACAGCTCCACACAAGGCAGTGTATAACACAGGCTGATGCGAAAGACCCATTTTCTCAGTAACAGACATACTACTCAGTGACTAGCTTCCACATGAATACACACTCGAGCTCACTCCGTAAGGAACTATCAGTGGTATTTCCATGCGCACTGCACCTCTCTCATGCCACTCGGCATGTACCGATCCTCAATCTAACTGCTGCCAGACGCCTTGCAGCTTCTCGCCACTGGGGCAACAACTGCAGCCGTCATGCATCCCTTTGTTTCCTTGAGGCTGTAAGAAAGAGGTGGTACGATGCAAGAGTTCTGATGTACCCTCACAAGAAGAACTGGCTCAGTCTTACGTTCTGAAAATATTCAGAGTTTTGAAAAAATTGCACTGTGTTTATGAGCTTGGGCTCAGGGGACCTGAGTTTGAACCCTAACCCTGTCTCTTAATTGCTCTCTACGTCTCCGTTGCCTCTCCTGTAAAATGGGGATGACATCATATAGGGTTACTGTGAGGATTAAAAGAGGTAATAGATGTGAAGGGCACAGTTAGCCATCAATATATGTTAAGCAATGCCATTATGATACTTTCCTATGCTTTAAGTCGCGTAGTTTGCTCTAGTCTAAGGAGCCAATTCAAATCCCTGCGCCTTAAAGATAGGGAGGCTATGAGGCAATATTGATTTGATTAGCTTGTCTTCATTTTCAGTGATAAAGGTCCAGCACACATCCTGCAAGCTTTCCCAGTGCTCCTAAGATGTTGGGGGCGGGGAGAGGGAAGGGGATGGGAATGCATTTTTAAAATGTTAAAATCAAAATTACTGCTCATCTGATTTCCTAAACATTTGTTCTAATTCACCAAATATTTTGCTCACTGCCTTATCTTTCCTTCCTCTATTTGCATGTGCTTCGCTTTTGATGTGGCACACACTTTAAAAATACATTATTAAGCAGACAAGCACGTCACCCCTGGAGCTAGCACTCTGTCCCCTGCTTATTCTCAACCAATCTCCTTTTGTGTTCTTTTGTGCTGAAGTGATTAATCATTTCAACTATTCAAGGGTTGCTGACAATCTTTCTAGATGATGCCAGCTACGATGACCCCTCCTCCCCCACCATCCACACCGTTTTAAACATGTTAGGAATCTGCTTTGGAGTCTTTATTCATGTCACAGTGGGCTCCTCATTTCACACAAGAATAACTAGTGAACCTCCAAAAGAACTCTGTGTTCATTTCTCATCTTTTTCCAGAGTCTGGGGTTGGATGTGTGTGGAGAGGTTGGTGAGAGAAGTCAGTGGAATAAAACAAGGAAACAGGAAGTTAAGAAGTCAGAATGATAAATGCTTATTTTGCAGACTAGAGGAGACATTTTTCTCTCACTGGTTGGAGAGAACCTGTTGCACCTCGTTGTTTGTGTAATATCATCTTTTTCATCGCATGTGGCTGGATTTTCTCAAGCCTCCCCCCCTTTGCCTCTTTCTAGTTATTTGCAATGGAATTTTCAAATGGCTTTTGTAGTTCAAGTTGAGTCTCAGATTCACCAGGGTCTCAATCTGTAATTTGGTTAGAAAGAAGCAGCTGAAGTAGGTTTTCAGGGATTGGTCATTTTTTAGAAGCCACTACTAATATTTTTAGCTAACTTTAAAGGTTCTATTTTGAAAAGCCTATTCTTCACTCCCCACCCCACCCCTCGCTATACACCATTAAACTGAATTCAAAAACATGTTTTAAAAATTGGCCCAAAATACTGTTAGGCCACAAGTTATTGCCAGGGAAGGGAAGACTAAAATGATTCATAAAGGAAATATGCAGATACAAGTATTTCAATAATGTTAAATGAATTAATATAGAATCCCAGGGTAATTTAAAAAGAAATATGTACTTTACATACAGAATTAATCTATATTTGAGACTATTAAAAAGATATTTACAAGTAGCTGAGGATAGAGTTTTAAATTATTGCATAATACATCAATTATAAGCATGCTGATCTTAAGATTTTTAATCACATTTCAGAGGCCTAATCAATGTTCATAGATACTTTGTTTAAAAAAATAACATAAAATCTTTAATATTTTTAATTCCACAGAACCACAGACGTCTAATTATTTAGAATTACAATGCAAAAATAAGGCACTAAAATAAAAACATTATACTGAAGAATCTGTAATAATAAACAGGTCACAACTTCTGCGATGTCCTAAGAAATTCCGGGCAGAGAGAAAGATACCCATTTGCACAAATAGGCACATCTTTTTAGTGGGAGGAGAGACAGAAGGAAGGTACATTAAAGAAAATAAATCCCCTACTGTTAGAATATGACAATTGTTCTCAAAGCTAATAACTGGAGAGACAGGCAGTGGTGCGCCTTTCCTGATTTATCATCAGAAACTGAAATTGTTTAGGAAAGCAGTATTTGGTAGAGGGCTGGTCTCCGGAGAGTGGAGGTGTGAGCAGTGGTACCGAACATAGCATTTCTCCAGAACTGCTGAGGTCGAAGTGGAGCCAGGAATGGAGCTATGTGCAAACGGGACGACACGCCATGTGCAAAACCTAGTTAGTGTGGGGGGCTAAAGAATGCTGACACTAGGGTACCTATTCAGAAATTATGGGCTGTGTGGATAGCTTTCAAAATCAGAACAAAATAAGATGCCTGTAAGTATGGGAGCATGTTCTAAAATTTATGCAAAATGTCTGAGTTCCAACCCCTACATTTAAAAAATACTTACACTGCATTGCATCCAACCAACATAAAAACAAAGGAATTGCACCACTACAAATCACATTTCTCAGAACTATAGGACAACATATAAATGAAATGGAAAGGGGAATGGAGGTTTCTACGTTTTTTCAGGTTATGCTGATCTAAATAATTATGAATATAAGGACTACAGAAAATGTAGATTAATATCTAGATAGATGGTCTAATTTTTCAAGGCCCTTATCTCTTTAATCTGCAAATTATCATCTTCTATTTAAGAAATTATTTTTAACTTTCCTATGTGGATACAAATTTGTAGCAAATTTGTAATTTCACACCCCTCAGTTTGAAGAGGTAACAGAAAACACTGTGTGTGGTTTTAATGATAATAAATACAATTTTTAAATGTATGTCTTGAGCTGATCGCTTTTGGGTGGATGTGTTTTAATTGTTCTAAGAACTGCTTTCCACAGAGCATATTAGCAGCGGAAAGAGCTTTGACTTCCAGCCCTTGATGCTATGAGCAGCAAAATGGTAATTAACCAAATTATCCCTGTAAATTTATTATCTTGATTTCTTCAACTTGTACATTACACTCATTATCTATCAAAATGAAAAACTCCATCTCGCGAAAGATAATCAGAACACAAGCGGCAGATAGAAAGGTCTGAGCTCTCCTGACGTGTGAAACACCAGCAAGAGCCGCTGGACTCCTTTTCACTTCCAACCCTCAGGAGTTAGAGGGTGAATTTTCTATCTCTCTTGCATTTGTGCTAATTGTAGGATGTGTCCTAATGCTCCCAGGTCACACAACAGTCTTGGATGTCCTTGGAGAGCTGATGTACTAGGGGGATAGCACCTCAACATTTTTTGTTGCAGTACTGGAAGGACAATAAAGTAGAGAGCAAGAACAGACATTGAGCAAAAGGTCAAAGTCATTCATTCATTATTCTCCATCCATTTATTCAGTATTTATTAAACATTCATTATGTGACAGTCATTTTGATAGTCCCTGGGGATAGATGGTAACAACCTAATGCGGGCAACGAAAGACCATTATGACTCAATATAATAAGTGAAGTGATAAGAATAAAGGGTATCTTTCCTGGGGAATACAGAATAGGAGCATCTAACTCAGACTTGGGAATCAGGACGGCTTCCTGCAGGGAGTGATCTCTCAAGGAAGGTTTGGAAACAGCAGAATTTGGGGTGAGGGGTAGACAGAGCATGAGGTAAGCCCAGAGGCAGAAGTGGAGTATAGAGTGTGAGGGGGACAGTGGGGAAAGATAAGGCTGGAATGCAATGCAGGGCTAGGACTTGTGTGGCTCTCCCAGACCACATCCAGGAATCTGACTCTGTCCTAAACCCAAGGGGAGCCACTGAAATGTTTTTAAAGCACACATGCTTTGGAAAGCTGATACCACCTACATTGGGGGAGCTGGCTAGAGGCAGTCAGTAGGCAGGTGGCCGGGGAGGAGGTCTCTGGAATAATCTAGGTGGGAAAGATGGTGGACTGAATAAGGAGGGTAGCACGGAGATGGAAAGAAGCAGACCTATTTAAGTGAGATTCAGAAGACAGACTGACAGACTTGGTGTGGAACCGAATGTGACGAGTGTGAGGAGGAGAGCCCAATGGCTTGAGCAGCTAGGTGAATGAGGATAATCCATGCTGGAGGCAGAGCCAGCAGGGGTGTGAGATGGCATTAGGGAAAAGGTGTCCATGACACATATAAGTGGAGCAATTGGGGCCCTGGGTGGCTCAGTCGGTTATGCGTCTGACTTTGGCTCAGGTCATGATCTCAGGGTCTTGGGATGGAGCCCCGTGTCAGGCATTCTGCTCAGCGGGGAGGCTGCTTCTCCCTCTTCCTCTGCCCTTCCCCCTGCTAGTGCTCTCTCTCTCAAATAAAGTCTTTTTTAAAAAGTGGAGCCATTCGGGGCAGCTGGATAGATGAGCATGAAACTAAGGAAACAGCTGGGCTCGAGATAACATACTTGCACCCTGCCCCGTCATGGCACAAATGCCTCCAGAAGCTGGAGAAACTGTAGCCTCTAGAAGAAGAGAGAGCTGGGACAGAAGTCCAAGGAATCCCAGCACATCAGGGGTAGTTACAGGAAGAGAGGTGCATGGAGGAGCCCAAGAAGAAATGACCACCCAATGGGAATAAATCCAGGAGGGTGTGGTGAGAGAGGCTAAGGCTCGAGCATTTTGAGGTGGACAGTGCGGGCATCACATGGAATGCCCACCAGGGGATCACGCTGGGAACGGTCTCTGTGCTTAGGAAGAAGCCAGCGTGGAGCAGTGACACTGGTAAAAGTGGTTTCTGGGGAGCACGGGAGGAAGAACCGGACAGCAGTGGGTTGATGGGAAAGTGGAGGTGAAGGCACACGGGGACTCTGGCGGGGGAGTCAATTGAGGAAGGGGAAGGAGCCCCAAGGAGTGCAGCACTGAAGACGCTCTCTTCCGAAGATGGAAAGCATGTGTACACATTTACCCTGAGGACACTACAAGAGATCTAGGCTGGAGGAGACCTGAGAGAGAGGGCACTCACCAGTCCTGAGCTAGTTGCAGTCGTGCATGGGACTCCAACACACAGGCAGAGGGATGAGCCGGAAGTCAGGAAAGAGGGAAGGAGGGGTGCACGAGATTCAGGTAAGTTTCCAGGTCTGTCAGTGGGTCGGAACACAAGAGGTCTGGCAAGACAGAATCTAGGCCTGTTTGGTTCACTGCTGTGCCCCCGGTGCCTAGGACAGAGCCTGGCACAATGGCCAAGGAAGCCAGCAGGCCAGGGTGCACATGCTAACAGCATCTATCTCCTCAGCATCTGGGACAGTGAAGCTCCTGCTGAGGCAGGAAGGAGGTCCAGGTGTCAGAGGTGTGGAGCAAGGGGGATGGCTAGTGGCTAAGCCAGTTCAACCTGGTTCTTGGGGATGAAAAAGTCTTTCTCTGTATAAATCACAGAAACATATACCATATACAGTACAGTATATTTGCAGTATTAGAATTTCATGGGGCAGCAATTAGGAAGAGTGTCTAAAGATTCCCTAGAAGGGGATAATGGGAAACAGCACAGGCCAGCTACCAAGATGATCCTGCCCTGAAACTGGGATTCAACATAAACAAGAGGTCACAACTGGCTGGACGCATAGAAGGGTCCATGATCCAGGCCTCAGAGCTGGCTGCTAGAGAAAAGGTTTCACTGCTCCATCCTGGAAGTCCTGGAGGGACTGAGGGGTGGGGTAGACTCTGAAGGTAGACAAGAGACCAAGCACAATGGTGCCTTGCTAATGGGGTGGAGTGGAGGGCATTAACAGAGGACCCGCCTCAGAGGAAGGTAACGCTCACACATGGCCGTTCCAGCCATAGGCTGAAATTGGCAAGCTTTCTGGGGGGAAAGATGACCGTGCCCTCAGAGAATTTGATGGGGCAGAAACAGTGGTAAGAGGTCTTCAGTGATTTGTACTCAAGGACCTATTTGCAAGGACCAGCTGCCTGAGAGAATTTCTAGGTTAAAGAGAGAAGCAAAAAAAGGTAGGGTAGAGATGAAGAAGGTCACAGGGCCCTTTCTGCTAGAAATTTTCTGATACAAAGGTTACACACCTGTATACAAACACACACAGTCTAAAAATACTTCGGCAAACAAGGAGGATCTTATTTGTCTGCCATGTTAAGTACTAATATCACTTCAGCAAATATTCTAATGTTTTTGTGCTTCTTAATTAGCACTCTAAAATATTCTTTATTAAATGACTTAACATAATCATTCCATAAATAATTACCAGTTTTTATCTCTGGCGTGGTTTTCAAAGTCCAATGAGCACATATGCTTATATTATACTTAAGTATAGAAATAGGAAAGAGAAAATAAAATTGCATTCGTTCTGTTAGGTAAATTTAGCAAAGGACTTGAAGCAAGTCGAGTGGTCAGCAATATTAGCATTGAAGAGCTGCACTTAAGAGAACCCAAGATTAAAAATAAGTATTTCTTTGGGAATTTATACATTTGAAATATTATCAGATATTATACTCTCATGTGTATTGGTATTTTCTAGAAGTAAAATAAAAACCACACTGCAATCGTAAACTTCATTCATAGATAAAGATAAGAATCTGCATGCTTTGTTCTAGGTGATCCAAGCTTAAGCACTTATTTTTCTGAAAATGAGGCCTCACTGAAATACAAAGAAGCAGAAATCTGTGAGGGTGCTGTGAAAACCTGAGAGGCATGCATGGGTGACAAATATAGTCCAATGGACCACATATGCACCGTCAGGCAGCGACTGTTTCTGCTTCTGTCCCACCCTCCTCCACTCTTGTGTTGCTAGGGGAGGACTCTGCAAGGCACCTTTCACAGGAGCACTGGCATCGAAAGGAATGCATCTCTATTTGCTTTCTTCCCCACATTCTTCCTCTTACTCATTCTATAAGCATCTGTCCCTTCTGAGTGTCTGGCAGGTGTTTTAAACCATGGCATAAATCTACTACTTTCTGAGTTACATTCAATCTCTTATTTCTTTGTTCTGTTGATGCCCCTTGTAAGGCAAGAGCAACAGAAAACTTACAAAATCACGTATTTTTAATCCCTCGGTCCTTTAATGTAATGCTAAGCTTCACCAAGTATCCTCATGAGAAACTGTGAAACTGGGTCTTTGACCTTGCCTGAAGCTCAGCCCTTCATGCATCCTGGCTGGCTGACACACCTCCCGTGTGTATCTCCAAGTCTTTACTAGCCTGGCTATGGTAGGAGGCACATAGCGCCAGGAGCTTCCATGACATCCGGTGGCATTTAGGTTTTGTGAACAGGCCATTTGTGTATCT